TGTAAAACCTAATGATTATTAATTCATTCTTGAATAAGTGGATGGTCATTGTATTCTTTTGATCCTTTGCTATGATAAACTCATGAGATCAGCAATTATGAAAACCACGGTGACTACTCATTTTCTTCCTGCAAGCCACTTTCAGCAGGATTATTTCTTATAAAGCTGAAATAAAAAGACTTGGGGAGTCAGAAAAGTATGACTTTATGATGGTAAATAAGAAACTGTCCTAAAACAAAAAGAAGTTTCTATTAGTGACATTTTAAAACATGACTTTGAGGATTATAGATATGCCCACTCCGGATTCCTAACTCTTTATTCAAAGGTTTCTGTATTCAAGGTTTTGAGGCGTTGACTAATAATTCATCCTTGCAATACCACTGAGAAATAGGCAAACAAGTCAAATGGGAATTGAGTATATTTTGGATTATAATTCCTGTGTTATTAAAAAAGAATTAGCAGAGATTGTAATAGTGTGAAAATGGATAGCAATTAACATAGGAAAAATATGTAAAGAAGGCAAGAAGAGGTATAGACACACTCAGAAATCTAGGAGTATGACCTGAACGAGTCTGATAATCTGTTGCCCCCAGAAATTGTAATAGGATATGTTTTGGGAAAGCATGATGTGGCCTTAAGGCACAGTCATATATGGATGTAGGTGCCATAAATTTACTGCAAACCACCTGGACTCTGTACACTCCGACCAAGTCTTCAAAAAATGTTTCGTAATTTTATTTTCTACCATAGGAAGACATAATGCTGCTTTTGTTTGTCTCAAAGTTACCATTCCCCCTTCTTTCAAATAGCTAACTCTTTTCCATAGATTTTAAGAAAGTAGTTAGCAAATTCAGTTGATTTTATTTATACCTTTTATGTTCTTTAATATTTTACTTCAGAGTTTTTATTTTCTGTTTTGTCAAGACTCTTAATGCATTTGTTGGGTCTTCCCACCACCATTTTCTTGCATATTTCTTTTTCTTTCATGTTAAGTATTTCTTAAGGATGAAATCCAAGAGCACATAATGTTTAAGCTGTAGTAAATACACCATTGCTTCAGCATTACATTTCTTTCACCCAGTTTGGAGTGCAGTGGCATGATCTCAGCTCACTGCAAGCTCCGCCTCCCGGGTTCATGCCATTCTCCTGCCTCAGCCTCCCGAGTAGCTGGGACTACAGGTGCCCACCGCCACACCCAGCTAATTTTTTGTGTTTTTAGTAGAGATGGGGTTTCACTGTGTTAGCCAGGATGGTCTCAATCTCCTGACCTCATGATCCGCCACCTCAGCCTCCCAAAGCGCTGTGATTTTTTCATTGACATTGCTTTTTATGACAATGCCCAGGGTTCTGTTAGCCTCTTTGGTTGCAGAAGAGTCCTTTGTTTTATATACTATTTGGGGTCATTTATTATTTAATTAAAGGATGCATAACTAATTAGTGACACAGCAAGTTTTCTTACAGCTATCCAAAATGGCTCTTCTTCCTGCATTCATAATCTCAGTTGGTGACACTGTGGTTCACCAGTCAATCAGCTAGAAATCTTAGAGATCTGTGCTTGACTCCAGATGTCTCTCACTCACTCCAAACTTTTAAGTCCAATTAATCACAAAGTCCTTTCTGTAGGATTGGAAAGATGAATGTCCCAGCCTCCTGACCTCCGGTTAAATGATTCTGAGGCATGTTTTTGTTTTGTTTTGTTTTTTTCTCTACTGTTGCTCAGTCCATGGGGACTGAGGGCCAATCGGTTATAATGATAACATATCCAATACTATACCTGCTATTGTTTTTTTTTTTCCTTTTTCCTTGTCTCACTTTTCCTAGTCCCTTGAGCAAGTGCTATCTGGGATCACCTTCCAAATAAACTGTCTGCCCCTAAGTCCTTATATCAAGATTGGCTTTAGGCGTAATCCAAGCTAAGGCAAGGCTTGAAGAATATGGAAGCCATGACTGACCAAGATTGAGAGAATATTGTCATCAGAAGGGATGTCACATATCTGTACCACAGACAAGAGCTAAGGGTAGCAATGCAAGGAACTAAAAGATGTTGCCTATGGCTGACTGGAGCAGAGAGTATGAGGGCAAAAGTTGTCAAATAGCAGGGACTAGTTCATGGTGTGCCCTAGAACTCATGTTCACCTTGTTGGCATGACTCTCAGTGAGAATGGAATTCTAGATTGAATGATTTCAAGTGGGGGAGTGATATGCTAGGTAATATACAGCAGCAAGCCCTAACCATTTTGGCACCAGGAACCAATTTCATGAAAGACAGTTTTTCCACAGAGGGTAGGAGGAGATGGTTTTGGGATGATTCAAGCACATTACCTTTATTGTGCACTTTATTTCTATTATTATTACATTATAATATATAATGAAATGATTATACAACTCACCATAATATAAAATCAGTGAGAGTCCTGAGCTTGTTTACCTTTAATGAGAAGGTCCCACCTGGGTGTAATGGATGAGAGTGATGGATCATCAGGCATTAGATCTCATAAGGAGCATGCAACCTAGATCCCTCCCAGTGCAGTTCACAATAGGGTTCACACTCCTATGAGAATCTAATGCTGCCACTGCTGATCTGACAGGAGGCAGAGCTCAGGTGGTAACGCAAGCCATGGGGAGCAGCTGTAAATACAGACGAAGCTTCCCTGGGTTGCCTGCTGCATAGCCCAGTTCCTAACAGGCCATGGCCTGTGGCCTGGGAGTTGAGGCCCTCGCATACAGAATGAATTTAAAGAGAAATAGAGCCATGACACTTATGAGGAAGTTACTGCAATGATAGTGACCGATGTTTGGAGAAGAGTATCGGTAGTGACTGGCAAGAAATGAATGGATTACACAACTGTTTAGCAGACAGTATCTTCCTAGATTACCATCGTGATTCCATATCAGAGTGAAGCAGGCAATAGTGGTAACTAAGGAAAACTTGTCATTTCAACAGGGAACCTTTTCAGTCAGAATTATTGATGTATTTGCAAATTTCCTTTGAAGATCTATTTGTCCTCAAGAAAAGGTCTTTAGCTTAAATCTGTATCCCTGTATCTTAATCTAATTCCAAACATATTTAAATACTTACAGTGACTGAGAAACTCATATCCTAGTCTTTTGGTTCATATTTGGTGGTAATTGTTAGGGTTCATTAGAGACATATGTTTAAATCAAACTCTGACTCTAAAAGTGAGAATGCAGAAGGTAAATTTTACCAATTTACTGATGAGCATGGAAATAAATTAGAATGATGGAAAACAATATATTAAGCAAGTGCTTTTATAAAATTATTACTGACATCTTTGAGATAAATGATCCTGCCATTGAATCCTTCCTTCATTTTAGGGTTCTTAGTGACCACTTATTTCAGTTAGCTCCATGAAAATGAGTTTTGCTGTTCCTGTTAGTCAGCACAAAATAAAAATGATCATAAATCTTTTATAAAGATGAGGCTTGCATTAAAAAGAAAATCTAATTGAAAGTTGCTTTAAATTTTGAGTGATTAATTTCATGTCAAATAAGTCATTAGAAATCGTGATGGCTATAAAAAAGCAATCATTTGCAAAATTGGAGAAAGCTAAATTCCATCTAGATACACTTTTCTACTTTTAAAATTTGTATATTGGGAGAGATACAATATAGCAATTGTGGAATTTTAATGTAATAGCCTGTTATTATAGGTAGTTTGTATATGTGTGCTGTTGGGCTCTCAACCAACTAATTATTTTCCCTCTGGATACTTCTATTTCAGGTGATCATCTGTATTATATTTGGTTGGTGCAAAAGTAATTGCGGTTTCTGCCATTACTTTTAGTGTTTCTCTTGTTTCTTGTCTAATAATAATATATCTACTTAATATCATTTCAAACATAAAACAAAGATTAGGTTTTTTTATGTTTTGGGTTTTAACAGATAGATATATACACACACATATATATAAATATATATTTAACATTTTTATACATACATATATATGTATATATATTTTTAAAAATAGGCACTATATACCTGTGTAGTTAAATACTAAGAGCTAAAGCTCGTGGCCCCATTTTATGAAAACAAAGGGTGCAATCTAGGAACTGTCTCCCTAAATATCTGTAATGTACTCCAAATGTACTCTCCAGTAACCAATATTGTTTGTCCTACAGCTCTTGTATTTTTAAGAGTGGACATAATACGCTAAATTTGGAGAGGTGATTGTATTTGAAAGATAAAAATGTCTGCAGGTCAGCCGAGTGTCGTGGCTCATGCCTGTAATCCTAGCAGTTTGAGAGGCTGAGGCAGGTGGATCACCTAAGGTCAGGAGTTCGAGACCAGCCTGGCCAGCATGGCGAAATCCCATCTCTACTAAAAATATAATAAATTAGTCTGGCATGGTGGCAGGTGCCTGTAATCCCAGCTACTTGGGAAGCTTAGGCAAGAGAATTGTTTGAACCCAGGGGGACAGAGGTTTCAGTGAGCTGAGATTGTGTCACTTCACTCCAGCCTGGGCAAAAGAGTGAAACTCTGACTCAAAAAAAAAAAAAAAAAAAAAAAAAAGTCTCTAGGTCTAGATCCGTTGGTGCAAGACATCTTCCATGAAACTGCTTTTCATTATGGGATGTACATAAAACAAATTAAATATGTAATGATGTAACATAAAATCACTTTTGATTTTTAATCCAATGAAATCTTGACATAACATGCTCTACTATTTTTGGAGGAACTAGTCAAACTAAAAAGAACCTCAGAATAAGTTGCCTGTCATCAAGACTGAACTGATTATTCAGTGGACAACTAAAATGCAGTGGTGATGTTAACTATTTTCTTTTCACATACTTCAAAATTTAATTACCAGAAAAAAAATATTATATTATTTAGTACTACCGAGGACTCAGGTTTTAAAAGCAAACTATAATAATTGTGGGGTAAAGTAGAAGCATCATTTTTGTTTTAAGTGAAAGACTCTTCATTTCACATTTACTATGCTACATATTATTGATTTTCTTCTCTGGTGGTGTTTTTTGCAGAGAGTGAATCTGTCCTTCGATTTTCCATTTTATGGCCACTTCCTACGTGAAATCACGGTAGCGACTGGGGGTAAGTGGTTTTCTACCCATTCACCTTAAGTAATCTATGGTTTGACTGCAGTTATTTTTAATGTACTCTATATTTCAAGGTGGGTATTTATTGATAAAACCATTGTGTTTTATCACAAAGCCATAGGTATAAATAAAACCAAACAAAGGGTATTGTTATTGGAAAACTTCTCAGCAGGAAAAAAAAAGTATTTATAATAATTTTCAACCTAGATCACCTCTGCTTTTCTTCCAAATTTTAATTCCTTTTTGGTAGTTTGGTAAAACTCTCCACATGGCAGAAGTTGGAATAGAGCTAGAAAGAAAGGCTGCTTAATGAAGCTGCTGGTGATCTTAATTTTCTTTTAATGTATATATTTGCTATATATATGTACATATATATAAAATATGTAAAATATATATAAACCTATATAATACATAATATATAAACATATAAAATATATGTACATATATATACACACATATGTATACACAAAAACACACAACCATATGCACATTAGCTTTGATCATTTTTTTCCTTGAGTGTTACCTATTTTGATTGACAACTCATTTGAGAGTCTTCAAATAAAGGCTGAAATCCAGCTCAAATGTTTTAAATTTTATTTTTCTCCACCAGCTTAGAGGTTAGTTTAGAGATTAGCAATATCCTAGCAAAGTAATTATCATTCTTTATTGTGTATCTCAGAAGTCAGAAATATTTTAGTCTTCAAGTGCTACTAGAAGCGATAAGCAAAATGCCAGGGAATATCCCTGTAGGCTTTATGATGCAGGGGTAGGGAAGAAGGAGAAAAACACATAAAAATGGAACAGTAAGTAAAGAAGAAATTAAAAGAAATTCTATAGATGTACAAAGAGGCTGTGAGCATCTATGCCCAAAGCACCAAAGACAGAGTCTCTTTCCTTCACTGACTCTTACCAGGGGTCTTTTGGATGGTGTGAAAACCATGTTAAGCATTGCCATTTTTTTTTTGCCATACTTTAATATAAGACCTAGAAGGTACTTAGGATTCAGAAGAAGATTTGTAATCAGAAATATCAACAAGTAAATGGAAGTGTTTTGAGCACCTACTCTGAGTGATGGTAAATAAGTCCACCTCTGCCTTAGAGTTGTGTAGCTTAGTGAAATATTAGGTAAAGTGAAGCAGAATGTGAGGAATTGCTTAGGAAATATAAGTGATGAAATATGCCCAGGTGCAGTGGCTCACACCTGTAGTCCCAGCTACTTTGGAAGCCCAGGAAGGAGGATTGCTTGAGCCCAGGAGTTCAAGACAAGCCTGGGCAACACTGTGAGACCCTATCTCTACAAAAGCATTTAAAAACTTAACCAGGCATGGTGGGGTGCTCCTGTAGTCCCAGCTACTCAGGAGGCTGAGGCAGGAGGACCGCTTGAGGCCAGGAGTTTGAGACTGCACCGAGCTGTGGTCATGCCATTGCACTACAGCCTGGCTGACAGAGCAAGACTCTATCTCTGAAAATAAAATAAATAAAATAAAATAATTAGCTGGTATGGTGGCATGTACCTGTAATCTCAGCTACTTGAGAGGTTGAGGCAGGAGGATCACTTGAGTCCAGGAGTTTGAGGCTGCAGTGAGCTATGACCACACCACTGCACTACAGCCTGGGCAACAGAGAAAGACCCTATCTCTAAAGAAAAAAACAAACGGAAATCAGAAAAAGAAAATACAAATGATAAGCTATGGGTTTCCGGGGATGATGTAACTCAAACATCTCTGAGTCTTAAATGAGAGTTAAGACTACAGAAAAATTGGTGTTCAGAGTGTTTCTTGGATCTCTTCTGTGATTGACTAGACAGACGTCATTAGCAGATAGACCTATTTGACAGATGCTTGCCATCCTTACAAATCTTAAAAAGGTTCTTAACCAGAGAAGTCTTGGAAGGAAAATGGAAACCACGAGTTGACTGCAGGCCATTCTCAATAGACCTGGCCTGGGAGTTTTAAGTAGAAACACAAAGATGCCTCTTTTGTTGGCTATCAGTTCTTTTTGTGTTTACAGATTCCTCTTGAACCTGTTTCTACATTGGGTGTGGGAAAAATTAAAGTGATATGTTTTCATGGTGCATCCAAGCTGTGCTAATAAATAAAGGGAATGCTTTAAACCATAATCCTCTTCATCTTACTTCATGGTTTTGCCATTTCCCACATTTCCTTGAAATCTCTCCATCTCTTTCCACACAGACACAAATTTAACATTGAAATTAAGTCAAGATAATGTCTCATCTTATTGCTAAGATCAGCACAACTTAAAAATGGAAAGTTGTTTAACAATATAGACATATGCATAGTTTACCATGGACCCTCTTTGTATATGTATTTTACTGTGAATGAGCTTAAGTTTCTAGTTTAAAATGTGAATTACAGCTAAAACATCCGGTCATTTATCTTATAAACTATAAAAATAAAATCTTTGCTTATTAAACATTTTAATATTCAAAAGCTTCAATAATCCATATGTACAATGGAATTGGAAATATCATCTATTTTCTGGTTCACTGATAGTGGAATCTGAAAGCATTCATTTATCTTTCTAGATAAAAAATACTTCAGAATACAAATATTTCAAGCACTAGAAAACTAGTTCTCTGAATTTCATCAACAGTTTCATTAGTGATACCACCAAGATGTGTTTTTTCCATATCACACTGCATTGTTTTCTTTCTATTTGAATATTTTAATTGGTTCTTTTTTACTATTAGCCTGCTAGTGTGATCTTTTAAATGTTCAAAAATGTAGATTTAAGTTTGAGGATTTGATTTGTAATCAAATAGCTATCCTAGGAATGACATTTTTACCTGAGTCCATCATGGGTACCATTACGGTGATGAGATGGGAGTATGTGAGATGGGTTAATTACTACTTTATGTAATGGGGAAGAGAAGAAGTAACGTTATACAGGTAATTTTGGTCCCAGTATGTAAGTATGTAGAGAGATGGTGATTCTTAATTAAGGTACTATGTGGAATTGTGGGAAGTTGGACATGAGACTGAAAAGCAAAAGTGATATGAATTTAAAAGCTAATAATGAATGTGTATTACTTACCTTGATCATAGAACAATTTGCCTTCTCTTTCTACACAGGTTTTGACTTACAGATTTCATAAGAAAGCGGTTTAAATTTTAGCTCTATTTTATTTCATTTGCTACGTAAAATACTAAAATGTTTATTAAGTAATATATTTACATATCCGAAAAACTAATAACATGGGCATTTAAAAAGTGAAACAGACAAAAGTAAAATGTAAATCTCCCTTCTTCCTTTGCCTCTTAGCTCACCAGTTTCCTGCCCAAGAAAAAAATATCTTATTTTTTGAAGTATGGTATATTAAAATTCAAACTTGGAGTAGTTTCCTGTATCTGGCCAATAATCATTAGGTTTTTTTCTGTTTAAATTCCCACTAAGAGAGATTTTAAAACAATAATAATGCATCTTATCTTCATTAGGTTTTCAGGAAGTATATTACCAAATCTCCCAGCTCCTTTTATGTTCTGGCTTTCAAGTGGTAATATTTTAATTGTAGTCCAAAATAGTATTTCATACTCTTTATAGGGACTTGATTAATAACAGGAATAAAAGTCTTTTTAGGAGAGGAAGAGAGTTAGTTATTACTCATGATGATTGATTTGTAAATACCAACCACATCTTCTTTCAAGTGTATAACCCCATAAAACAAAGCGTGGTGTAGCCATGAACTTTCTGCATCTAGGGAGAAGGTGGATGGAGTTTTTTTGTATTATTATTATTATTAACAGAGATCACAGGTTATGGTTATCTGAGATCTATGCATGAATGGAAGATACTAAAGAGATAGATGCTGGATGAAAGTAAATCCATTCCAACTGGCTTCAATAATTTAAAGTTACAAGCTCAAGTCTCAAGGATTCCTAGACAGAAAGATAAATTGCGTGATGTCTACTCTACTGCATCTAAATAATTCTCTGAGATAGACCTCCAAAACCCTGAGAGTTCATCTGAGCTGTCTTCTTTGATAATTTACTCCTCCCTCAAACTGTCTAGTGTCAGCAGTATGTTCAGTAGCTTGAACATTATTATATATGTATGTATTTATTTTGTAGACAGGATCTTACTCTGTCACCCCAGCTGGAGTGCAGTGGCACAATCACAGCTCACTGTAGCCTTGACCTCCTGGGCTCAAGTGATCCTTCCACCTCGGCTCCCCAAGTAGCTGGGACTACAGGCATGACCACTATGCCTGGCTAATGTTTAGATTTTTTTGTAGATATGTGGTCTCACTGTGTTGCTCAGGCTGCTCTCAAACTCCTAGCCTCTAGCAATCCTCCCATCTCAGCCTCCCAAAGTGCTGGGATTACAGGTGTGAGACCCTGTGCCAGGCTATATTGTTTTGTCCTTCACGAATTGCATATTCACAACCACTTTTGTTTCTCCTGCATGTCTGTTCATACATGCTTTATTTCATTAGCACTGGCTCCTTGCGGCAGGGGTGGGAAGCATAATTGGAAATTAAGCCATTAGGAGACCCAGAGAGGAAGCACCCAGGAGCAAGAGTTGACTCAATAGGAATCAGCAAGAAAAATACAAGAGGCAGAAACATGGGTAGAATGAAGGAGGACCATTAGACGTAAACAAAAGAGAGCAGAGCATTGGCATACGATGGATAAGTCATGATTGGAGGACAGGAATGGGGGAGGTGGATCAGCTGAGACGAGGGTGTAGGTAAAAACAAGGTCTCCAGGCTCATCATAATGGCCACTGAAGTGTCCACTGATTGCTAGTGCTAGAATACTCCATTAGGGATGTTTATACCAGGAAAACATCATTCATCTTCTTGCAGCAGATCCAGGCTTTCTTGGAAACACTGGCAGTAATATTTTTGCTTGTAGCCTTTCCTAGTCACTGCAGCAGTAATTCAGATAAATAGCAATTTTACACAGATGCTTAAATACATCACCCAATTTAAAATAAAGGTTATCTAAGTGACTCTGTTTAATTAATAAAGTAACA